TTGTAACCAACTGCTGTCTTTGCCGTAAAGTATGTTCCAACTCAAACTATGAACTTAAAGGAATAGTTCACCCAAAAATTAAAATTTCTTCATAATATTAGCCCTCATGTTTTTTTTTTTTCAAACCTGAATACATTTTTTTATTTATATTTTTTTTTATATTTTTATTTCTTTTATTTATTTATCTATTTATGTATTTTTTCTGTTTAACATAAAATAATATATTTTGAAGAACGTTGGAATGCTGGTAAAAGAATGTTAATTGCTCATTGATTTCCATAGTATGGGGGGAGGTGGAACAAATAAATGAATAATGTTTGGTTACCAACATTCTTCAAAAATATTTTCTTTTGTGTTCAGCAAAAGTAAGAAATTAATTCAGGTTTGGAACAACTTGAGGGTGAGGGGGTTTGGGGGTGAATAATCCATTTAAATAACCATTGGCATATAGACTGCCATGAATATATCACAAAACACAGTAAGCAGCATATTAACTACAATTTAAGGCAGTGTTTCTCAACCCTGGCCCTGGGCGCTCCCCAGCACTGCACATGTTGTGTGTCTCCCTAATCAAACACACCTGATTCAACTCATTAGCTCATTAAAATAAAACCAACAAAAATGTGTTCTTCAAATTTAAAAAAAAGCAGACTTAAAAACCAGACTGTTTTCACATTTCGGGTTAGCTAGACCCTGTGGAACATAAACTTATAAAACAGTCATAGCTTTTTCAACAAAAAACATTTCAAACCATCATGTTATTACCATGATATTAATACACTTACTACTTTTTAATTCAGGCTAATTACTGCAATCAGACACAGGTGTTCATCATTTTGCACTTGACCTACTTACTCACCGCTCGTCTCCCGTCCCTCTCTCCCGCTGCAGACTTCACACACACACACACACACACACACATATATATATATTTTTTTTTTATTTGTTATTTTTATTTTTTTTTTTTATATATTGTACTTTTCAATATTAGTATTGTATTGTACTATTATATTGTACTACACAGAAATATTGTCACATTTCTGTGTAGTACAATCCAAATAAAGAGTACAAAGAAAATTAACGTTACAAGGACTTTAAATAAACATGGGGAAAAAAGCAACACATTACCATAAACAAGACCGAACAATGAACAGAATATACTTATGGCTTAAACACACAGACTAGATAATTAATAGGAACTAAAATAGGTGTGTACTAATCAGAAACTAATAAGCAAAGGGAACACATGCACAGGTACAAAGAAACAGAACTATACAGAATGTGATGGAATGAATATTGCTATCACAACCCCCTCTGCTGGAGAATAGGAGGAACTCACTACAGGTTTAGCTGCGTCTATCACCGGCTGGTGAATGATTAACATGATTGTATCACAATAAAAGTAGAGCGTGCCAGTGGCGTAGTGAGCACTTGATTTCCCACACGTTTTCTGTTGTGTCGCCCTTGCCTGGTGGAGTCGTGTGGCTTGGGTTTTTCTATTCCAGTCCTTTCTCTGTTTAAACCCAGTTTGGGTGTAGCGAGATACGTCATAGCGGGAGCTCTTTCATATCAGTCAAATTGACCCAGTTGAGGGGAAGTGCCTCTCGGCTTATGTCCAGCGTGGAGCCGTGGAGTGGGGCAATATTTGGCCGGACGTACGGATCCAGACTGCGCTGCTGTTTTGTCTCTACGGTTTCCGTTGTTTATTGCCCTCTGTGTCTTTATTAGATTTTCTTTCTTTTTTCTTTGTGTCAGTTATTTGTTTGATGGTTTTGAGAATATTAAAAGGTTATTTAGTTTTCTTTTCTTAAACTTTTTGGGTAATAGTGATTGAGACGCCAACGATGTCATCGTGTTTTCTCCCTCTGTTGCAGAACATTTAGAGCGGCTGGAGATTGTGCTGGCACGGCTGAAACAAGAAGGCCTCAAAGCCAAGTTGGAAAAGTGTTAATTCCTCAAACAGGAGGTACGTTACTTGGGGCATGTGATATCAAAGGCGGGCGTTTCAACTGATCCGGAGAAAATCCAGGCTGTGGCAGAATGGAGAAGGCCGGCACATGTCTCTGAGCTAAGGTCTTTTCTTGGCTTCGCAAGTTACTATCGACGATTTGTGGAGGGTTTTGCGGCATTGGCAGCCCCGCTGCATCGGCTGGTGGCTGAACTGGTGGGCTCAAAGAAGAGGAAGGGGTCTGGAAAGAGCCTTCCCACTGTATGGACTGAGGAGTGCGAGAACCGCTTTGAAGGTCTCAAAAAGAAGCTTAGTACTGCACCAGTTTTGGCCTATGCTAATTTTTCTCTACCCTTCATTTTAGAAGTGGATGCTAGCCATCAGGGGCTGGGGGCTGTTCTCTCGCAGGAGCAAGAGGGCAAGGTAAGACCTGTTGCCTATGCCAGTCGAAGCTTGCGGCCTGCCGAGCGTAATATGACAAATTACAGCTCGATGAAGTTGGAGTTCCTGGCCCTGAAATGGGCAATGACTGAAAAATTTTGAGAATACTTGTTGGGCCAGAAGTGCCTTGTGTATACTGATAACAACCCTTTAAGCCATCTTGCCACCGCGAAATTGGGTGCTACCGAGCAGCGGTGGGTCGCACAACTGGCTGCGTTTGACTATGTTATCAAGTACAGGTCTGGCCAGGTTAACCAAAATGCAGATGGCCTTTCGCGACAGTATGTGGGGCCTACGGAAGAGGGGAGGGAGGAGAACTGCCAAGAGCCATTGTCCTTGCCCCAAGTTTCTTTGGAACCAGCCTCGCAGGTAATGCAAGCAGCTATTTCTGTCTTGCCCTGTTATGCCCCTGATAGGTTGTGTGCCCTGCAGGCGGAGGATCCTGTGATCAAGGAGGTGTTAGCTTTCTGGAAGAACCAATGCCAGCCGACCCCTGATGAGAGGCAGACGCTTGCAAGATCAGTGTTATCATTACTGCGACAGTGGGACCGTCTTGTGGAGCAGGAGGGGGGGCTCTATCGTCGCATTCTACGTCCTGATGGGGGCGAGGAGGTTCTGCAGTTGGTTCTCCCCATGTCATTGAAGAGAGAAGTGCTCACTCAGCTGCATCAGGGGCATGGGCACCAGGGCAGGGAGCGAACACTAGAGCTGGCCCGCAGATGGTGTTACTGGCCCGGCATGTCATCCGAGGTGGAGCGCTGGTGCCAAGAGTGTGACAGATGCCAGGTGTCTAAGAATTCTCAGCCAGTGGTCCGTACCTTTATGAATCATCTCCTTGCATCACGGCCAAATGAGATATTGGCTATGGACTTTACCCTCCTCGAGCCAGCTCAGAATGGTTTGGAAAATGTTCTTATCATGACTGATGTGTTCTCGAAATTCACCCAGGCCATCCCTACCCGGGATCAACGTGCCTCTACAGTGGCTCAAGTTCTGGTTACAGAGTGGTTCTATAAATTTGGAGTACCAAGTCAGCTGCACTCAGATCAGGGACGGAATTTCGAGAGCTCTCTGGTTCAGCAATTGTGTGGCCTATATGGCGTGGTCAAGTCACGAACTACTCCATATCATCCTGCTGGCAGTGGGCAGTGTGAACGGCTTAACCGTACTCTGCACAACCTTCTGCGAACACTGCCTGCAACGAGGAAGAGGGAGTGGACCACTTGCCTCCCCCAGTTGTTGTTTTGTTACAATACGACCCCCTATCAGTCCACGGGGGAGTCCCCTTATTATCTCATGTTTGGTCAAGATCCGAAGCTGCCGGTCGACTTTTTGCTGGGTAGGGTGGAAGACCCAGTGGTCGGCGGTGTGCATGACTGGGTCGTGGAGCATCAAGTACGACTTCAGATGGCATTTGAAAGTGCAATACACAGAATGAAAGCGGCAGCTGATGCTCGGAGGAAAAGTCATGATGGCCGAGTTCGGGAGGTCCCCCTGAAGGAGGGGCAAATAGTGTTGCTGCGGGAGCAGTCCGTGCGAGGACGTAACAAGATTCAAGACTACTGGAGTTCTATTCGGTATCGGGTGTTAAAAGCTCCTACCGAAAGAGGATCAGTGTACACAATTGCCCCAGTAGACAACCGGAGTAAGATTAAGCATGTACATCGCACTTTGCTGAAGCATTATATTGCTACTCCGAGTCCGGAGAGAGGACGAAGTGCCAAGAGTCAAGAGGAGGCTGGGACACTTCAGAGCAGTGGGGAGGAAGAGAGGGAGGATGATTGGGTCTTGGTGTCTGGGCCTTTCGTTGTTCAAGCTGGAACGACACCTAGGCCCTCTGTCCCTGAGAAATCTACCCTTGTCCCAGTTCTGTTCCCAAGTCAATCAAATTATGTTGATGGTGGTGCCAGCAGGCCAGAGCAAGCTGTGACTCCAGCGTCTTATCCCCCTTCGGAAGGGGATCGTGGACTGAGAAGGACCATCCGGGCCACCGCGGGACGACATTCCAATCTTTATAATTTACCTAGGGCGGTGCAGGGGAGGGAGAGAGGGGCTATAAATTCCCAGATGATTGTGCCTACTGCTTCCTTGCTTTTTAGACCATGGAACTGAATTTCGTGGCCTACTGGTTCATCGTCGGGATGGCGATGCAAATAGGTGGGATGGATTGTGATGGAATGAATATTGCTATCACAACCCCCTCTGCTGGAGAATAGGAGGAACTCACTACAGGTTTAGCTGCGTCTATCACCGGCTGGTGAATGATTAACATGATTGTATCACAATAAAAGTAGAGCGTGCCAGTGGCGTAGTGAGCACTTGATTTCCCACACGTTTTCTGTTGTGTCGCCCTTGCCTGGTGGAGTCGTGTGGTTTGGGTTTTCTATTCCAGTCCTTTCTCTGTTTAAACCCAGGTATGTGGATGAATGGAATTCCATAGGTGAGCGGTGTAGTACTGGTGTGTAACCCAAGTCTGTATCCTGCAGTTCGGGTGTAGTGAGATACGTCATAGCGGGAGCTCTTTCATATCAGTCAAATTGACCCAGTGAGTATGATCTTTTTATGGGGGGTGGTTTTATATTTTAAATGTTTATGTTTCACTGACCCAGTTGAGGGGAAGTGCCTCTCGTCTTATGTCCAGCGTGGAGCCATGGAGTGGGGCAATATTTGGCCGGACGTACGGATCCAGACTGCGCTGCTGTTTTGTCTCTACGGTTTCCGTTGTTTATTGCCCTCGGTGTCTTTATTAGATTTTCTTTCTTTTTTCTTTGTGTCAGTTATTTGTTTGATGGTTTTGAGAATATTAAAAGGTTATTTAGTTTTCTTTTCTTAACTTTTTGGGTAATAGTGATTGAGACGACTGATGTGATCTTGTCAGTGATTTATGGGGATGATTAGTCACTTACCATAATGTTCTGCATATCTCTGTAGTTTTCTTAATTTTACTTTTCTCATTGTCTAATGGTGTATTTGTTTTTGTATTTCTTTGTCAGTGCTGAGAGTTCTCCCTTTGGGGACCTAGAGAGACACACCATTGATTCGTTGGGGTGCAGTGTGGAACACATTTGATTTTCATTCGTGTGGTTGCAGTGGAGAGCACTAGAGTGTGAGGGCTTATCTATTGGGGGGTTTAGGATTTTCTCCCTGTAAGTGCTCTCAGCGACCCAGGTGGTGCTTTCAGCTTTTTGTTTGTGGTTGTTTTGTTTGTTTCCTATGTAATTTGTTGTGGTTCTCTTTTTCGTTGTTTTTGTTTGTTCTGCCTCCAGCTAGCATAATATATTGTAATTGGCATCCCTCTTTTTGTTTATGGGTATTTGAAAGGTATCTGTATCGAACATGTCCCCTTGTGAATTGTGACTTCAGTGTGTTTCTAAACCGAAAATTATTTTTGCTGTAATAAAACATTGGTTTTAACTGGCAGAAACATCTCAATCATTTCTGTGTGGACCGGACCTGTATAGTTGAGTGGGTTATATCCTGGCGTGGAAGTCCCTAGGTGGTGTAGTGGGCTATTATTGCAAAGTTTAGGTCAAGGACGAGAAAGGTCTTTCTCGATTGATTTATCTGCCTTACTGTCCCACCACAAGAACATAACTGTGACAAATTGTTAAGAAAATATTAGAATAATTATCAGTATTAACTCATTTGAAGTCAATAGATTTAAGGATTTAAAGTTTTTTTTTTGTACTATACATAGAATACTGTGCATCTATACAAAGAAGCAAAATAGTTGTTTTTGCCCCCAATGACTTTCTGCGCCAAGCCGAGCTGATCCACCTCCTCTCATTGTATCCATAATAACCCTCCTCTTGAGTCCTCCTTCAATACTGTCTCAGTCAAATGACACTTCCAGCACACTGAACTGAACCTAGCAGCCTTGCTTCAGTGCTCACTCCTATCACATTCCGCTCTCTTATTCTTCCTTGAGAGCTCTTCACACCGCCTTCAGAGCATTGGTGCCTGCCACCCTGCCTCATTAGGGCTCCTTCGCGCTCCGTCTCGAGGATTATACAAGCAAATCTCATTGTGGCAACACTTCAGACGGAGATAAGGGAAGTCATTTTCTTTGAGGGAGACGCGGGCAAGAGAGGCAGGGTGATTAATGAGCGTGATATATCACTTTATGTTTGATTAATTCTCAGTTGTACTCAAGTGATTGACAGGATTCTGACCCTTGTATGTATTGACTGAGAAGGTTGAGTATGTGCTCGTGGAAATGAAGGGGGGAATGATAGACTGCATTGCACTCGGAGCTAAGAGTGACATATTTATTGTTTATTGCTGCTTCATACATATACTGTAAGGTATAGCAGGTTAAATAGATGTGGTTTAAAACTGGGGAGCTATATGTTTAAAAGCAACACATTCAAATATTTATTACTCGTTCTAAAAGTAATGATGCTACATCATTACTTTTATGGAAAGTAACATGTTGAAGTACAGTTATTACCTTTTTGATGGGTTACGGTGTGGGGCTAGATTATAGTATTTATAATATTTAAAATTAGCTATTTATTAAACCACTAGAACTCTATGGAATGCCCCTTTTGAGATAACTAAGTAAATGCATGTGTTGATGGCAGCCACATCCCCAAAATTCTTGCACATCTTAAAGGGATAGTTCACCCAAAAAATTAAAATCCATGCTACGATATGCAGCTGTAAATGCAATGAGTAACTTGTTACCATACTTGTCATTTGAAAACATATTACCACAGTACTTTTTTGGATTGAATTCATTATATGACACAAAGTGCATTACATTTATACATTTTGTACACAGAAAGAGTTGCATTTTGTCATTTTGTGCACACAACTCTAAATCAAAACCTGCTTTTGTGCAAAAATTGTGTGTATTTTATGATCCAGACATCTTTGGGGACGAAATACACAATTGATTAATTTGAAAAAAAAAAAAACATCCATCTTTATGTGCACAGAATAGAAGGAACTTAAATTTTGTGCACAAAAACATACAAAATGCAGCTTGTGTGTTTGTGTGTGTGTACTAAATGCAATTTATGTCACGTAATTACTTCAGTATATACAAAATTACTTACACTTGGCAACCCATATGGCAGAGTGCACCACTTTATTCAAAACAAGTAGCCACATACTGTAGCCGTCATCCAAATCGCGTGAAAATGACCTGAGGAATCCTGTGCATTTCATTTGAGTTTTATTTTGTGCGCTCTACTCCATCATTCACCTTGACTATAATCAAAAGGTGCTCTCATTATGTAGTGTGCGTGTGGGAATGCTGGGACAGCTTCTAGCAAAACTGGCTGCAAAACTCGTCTCTCTGAGCTGGAGCCTTGCCATCACTCAACTGATCTGCTTTTCCCTCGGATCAATGTTTGTTGCTACTCTCAATGCCCTGAGTGACGTGTGAGATGGTGACAGCGTATCCTATCAAAAGCTGCCGCAGACATCCCCTCTGGCCTTGTAAAAAAACACAGAGTGAAAGCTTAAAGCGGCCAGCATGCAATGTTTGAGTCTCCCACAATCGGCGAGTGCTGTTGTAAATGAACACAAGGACGAAGTAAGTAACAAGAAGTTAATCAATAAGTCAATGCAAATGTGTGCGCAAAGCCCTAGCAAGGGCTATCTGTCAGCCAACTGTGTGTGCAAAGCACATCCGAGGCTTTCCATGTCCTGTCTTTTCATGCACATCTCCCTGTCTTTATTTTTTATTTCAGTGTGTGAGCCTATGCATGTGTGCTTATGGAGAGAAAGGCGGAGATTTGCTTAGTGTGTCTGCCTGACTTGGCAGAAATTGATCTTGGGTATGCATTAGCAGATTGCCTGTTGATGAGATGGGGATTTATAATGCACCGGCTGATAGCAGTGATCTAGCTATATAAATAAATGAATATGTGCAGTGTTTAGCTTTCAGATGACTATAAAATCTTGATTTGTAAGCCTTTCTGTACTCACAAATGTCTGTATTAATATCCCTATACTCCACAGAAGAGACTGAAAGTCTGTATCTAACTCGATGAGGACCTGATGGCTGGACAGAAAGACATCAAAACATGTCACTGGCAATGTATTAATCAAAAAAGAATCAGAACATTAACAGGAAGTGCCTGAACGGACATGAGTTGGTGAAAGATAGAATCAGCAATACCTGCAATCTGGAAAAGAAGATAAGAGTAGAGGAGACAACTTGTTATAGATTGAACTGCATGCAAATATAGCAAATACCCTTTTCTGATTCATGTTGGCCTTTTGTTTAAAATGTAAACATGAAGATCATCTTTCCATTCCTACTTTACAAAGCCATTGGACCAGCTTATCTCTTCGGTAGTTGTGGTTTGTAGATCAATTGCATAATGGTTGGTGCAGTACAGTTGTGTGTTTTAGCTCTTATGAAGACTGCAGAGTCAGTAATTTGGCTACATGGACACACACTGATCGATATCTAACTGTAATGTGATCAATTGGGAAAGTATGTATTAAAGCTAGCACCTCTGAAAGTGCATTTAAACAGTTAGAGTCCTCTCACTTACTGGAATGATGGGAAGCCTGCATTAAGTGCTGTTCGGTCTTAGTGATTTGAGAAATTTAGAGAAATTTGTGTCAGATGTACTTTGAGATTTTAATGAAGTCTGATATTTTTTTCTCACACAACCTCTGTAAAACTTCCAGAACAAATTGCTGATATATTATCCCAATGCTTCTCCTCATGAGTTTTTTGACTAACCTGAGCTAATGTTTACGCACTAACCTTCAACATGCTGCACCTTTCACTATCTGGATGGATACTGAGACTAACCACTTCATTTAAAGGGATCATATGATGCGATTTAAATTTTGCCTTTCTCTTTGGAGTGTTACAAGCTCTTGGTGCATAAAGAAGATCTGTAAAGTTGCAAAGACTAAAGTCTCAAATCCAAAGAGATATTCTTTATAAAAGTTAAGAGTTAACCATGCCTACCTAAAACGGCTCGTTCTAACACGCCCCCATATGTCTACGTCACGATGTGGGAAGATTTGCATAACGCCGCCCAAATGTTCACGCAAAGAAAGAAGGCGTAACTTTTATTCTCGCTTTAGTATTGTTGTTGCCGCTGCCGCCATGTCGTGAAGGCGCTGTGTTTCGTTGTGAAAGTGAAACTACTTTGGTTGGCCTTCCAAAAGAGGACGATATCCACTTCGTCATGCCTGGAGCTGATCCGTGCTGGTCGCTGAGGAAATACATCAAATATACAAATACAAATACAAATACGCTCCGGCCGGACAGGGCATCACGATATGGTAAGGGGCGTAACATTTCCGTCACACGCTTGAGGTATTCGGCCAATCACAATGCACTGGATAGCTGGCCAATCAGAGCACACCTCGCTTTTCAGACCGATGAGCTTTGTAAAAATCGACGCGTTTCAGAAAGGCGGGGCATAGAGGACAAACAATAATGTACAGTATGTGGAAAATAATGTGTTTTTGTAACCTTAAACAGCATAAACACATTTCATTACACCAAATACACAAAATAATGTTATTTTTAGCTGCATCATATGACCCCTTTAAGATACATGTCTAGATATCTTTGGTCATTTCTGTAGGTTTTATAAGCTGCCATTTCTATAAACTCATGAAAATAATTCAGTAAAATACATACACGTCATACATGATGCACAAAACCACAGCACTTGACCTTCTATAACAGCCACATCTAGAACACATACACTCTCACCTCTATAATTAACACAGAGATGTTAGTCCCGTCTGAATTGGTGCATAAAATCACAGACGTCGTGTGAAAAGAACTCAAACGTCATTTAGAAAACTTTAGAAAAATTTAGCAATTTTTGACATTATTTGATGGAATTATAACATAAACAAAAGTGAAATACTTTATATACTGTATAATGCAATATTATTAAAAATGTGACAAATATGCTCTCATATCTCTAGAGTTTATTTACTAACTGACTATCAAACTAACTGGCAATGGAAAGTGGATAGTGTAACGGTAGGTGATTAGCTGACAAGTTGTTTACATTATTGATGCCGTTCTGTGGTTGAAACACAGAGAGGACGATTACTATACATAGGAGATGATACATTTCAGCCAATTGTATCTTTCAACATGTCCTTTGGGACTGTTTACTTAGTCACTCCATGTGTCATGATCGATTGGATGATCCGCCTGGGTTTGCACATTCCATTCACATATAGCCACATAAATGTGTCTCTCCAAAATTGATATAAATCTGAGTAAATCAATTCTATGATGACTATGGTGATGATAATGCAGCTACATTTCTTAGTAAATGCTCCCTTCACTTCGTATGGCAAGTAACTTTGACTTTCAAACAGATTTTGAATGTGCAAAACATACGTCTGAGACCATGTGTAGAGGAAGATTTTGAGAATTCAGGCATTTGTATTATATCGGCAATATGGTATTGA